GAGGGGGGGAGATTAGTGGGCTCCCCCAGCCCCCAAGGCTAATAGATGTTGGAGGCTCTAAGCCAACCAACAATTACCGTCCAGTGGTCACTCCTTGGGCTGCCGGGAAATTGCACTCCTCCGGTACAACGGCGGGGGCCGAAACCGAATACTGGGGCTCCCCCCTTCCCTCTCGAGAAGCGAAAGGTTGCCAGATCCAAAGTTCCCGCCACCCCCACGCCCTCACCGTAAATTAGGCATCATCATCGAATCGAGTAGGAGGAAATAGCTTGCTCCTAGTCGGTTCTCGGTACAAGCTAGTAATCGGCACGATGCGGGCACTTGAGCTGTGGAGGCTAACAGCGAGAGTTTGTCCGCCGGTCCGGAATTTCCAGGCCAAGTAGCTGAACATACCAAGTCACCTAAGCGTGTCGGCGTAGCCCCGTTCTCGGCGCCGTCGTTTGTATGCGATGTGATAAAGCGGTGGGAGAAGCATGTTGAGATGTCAACTGAGTAGTAAGATTGCAGGGTGTATGTATCCGCAGGCAAGGGCGGGTGATCCTTTATGAAGTCGTTGTTACCCTGGCCCGCGATCACGTAAGCCAAGAAAGCATCGAGTACGGAACGGGCATAGTACGGTACCGGGTGCAATACGCAGCTCCTTCTCCCACCAAGAGAAATTGTTCTTTTGGCAGATGACTAACCCCCTGACCGCCGAAGCGACGCCTTCTCTACTCGAGTACAACAGTAACTCGAGTAGGGGTTAAAGCACTAGGCCAGGTCCCTGGAGCGACGGTCCACTAGTAAATAGTCTCAAGGAAATTCACCCCACACCAGCCGGTTCGAGTCCCCACCGCCAACCCCTGGCGAGTACCGTACACTAGAGAGCCCTGGGGGAAATGTACTAGTACTCTGTGTCCAGCCACCTCGTTCACATGCGACAGCCCAGACCCTGATAAAGGGCGTGTTAGGATGAGAAAAACGAGTGACAATCGATGTAAACAAGCGACTCCAACGCACACGCAACTCGGAGCCTCCCCCCCCCCACCACCTCCGCACCGGTTAATGCGGTCAGTGATCTTCTACAGGACAGTACTCGTACAGTACTCGTACAGGTGGTTCCCATTCCGTCCACCCGGGAGAGAAGGAAAAAAATAATAATATTTGCTATGCCGGTTTTTTGAGTTGCGGTTTGTTCCTGTTCAACCCTTACCCTGTGTTCAAGACACTTTAGAAGTCCTGAGCTCCCGAAGACTTGCTGCGAAGCAATTGACTATGCTAACAAGTTCCCTGCACCGCTCCTAGCAACTGACTGGCCGAGAGACAATGTCGCAGGGGCCCAGTCCCATGTTTAGACAACTCGGCCAGCTCCAAGCAGCGCGGAACTCAGAACCAATATTCAGCGGTGATATCATCCTGGACCGGCTAGGTAAGTTTACGACTAGTTTAAGCCATCTCATAACCAGGGTCAGCACGTCTGCAGACGAAGGAAGAAAGGAAAAAAAAATAAAAAATAAAGTCCCCGAGAAGAGAAGTTTTTTTTCTTTCTTTTTTTTTTTTTCTTTCTTTCTTCTCGCTCTCCGGTTCACGATGTGGGGTAACCTAGGTAGCGGGGCAAATCACACGATGGAGAATGAGGCTAATTTTAACCTGTCGCTGTGGATGTGATAGGTTGTGACTGTTTCTCCGGAAAAGCATCATCTCACTTGGGGCTTTTTTTTTTCCCTTTCCAAAAGTTTCAATGGAAGAATCCCTGAACCTACGGATCGGTTTACCCTATCTGCCCACCTCACGGCGGTGAGATCTTTGTGCTAGATCATACCCAAGCCACATTCGAGTTTGGTTTGTTATGGTATAACTTTACGAGTATCGTACGGTACAAGTACTGTACGTGTACTACGGGAGCGCGGTACCGCAACTGGCACCCAACTGGTTGCTATTCTAACGGTGTGTCTTTTTCTGATGCCTCGGGTTTTCAATTCATGACAAGGCCAATGGAGTCAAGAAAGTCTCACCATCTCCTCATCTCGCTCGGAGAAAGCCATTGGAAGTTCTGCCCATGTGCGGGCTATGTATGCATGGGTGTACTCGTACAGTACTCGCACAGCATGTCTTTCATCCTTCTTTAAATTGCATTATCATACATATAATAATGCTCAACTACGGTGTGTGCGACACCTAGCCGGGGCCCAAAAAAACCGGCTCGAAGAGAGACATCAACAGCAGCGATTTATTTTTCCAAACGTTAATCCTTACATGGGTGGGGAAGTCAATTGGGGAACAAGTCCAAAGTTTGATTTCCGAAGGGAAATTTTTTTTGTTGTGGGTGGACAGAAAGCGGTTTGTCTGGGGGAGAGTGGAGGCAGGTAATTTTGAACTCGATACAAAGTTGTTAAGGCCGGATGAGAATCTACTAACATGGTCCTATTGTAATATAACTGCGCTCGAGTACCGGAAAGGCGCTGGTGGGTACTATTTGGGCCTAACCTCGCACCAAATTTGTGTTGGTGAATTAGTGGATTGAGATGGGCGCCTTCTGGGCTCGACGAGAGAATTAAGTTCTGCTCAGCTGCAGGCCTGCTTTGCCTTGCTCTTTTCTCTGGTTGGTTGATTGATTGCTTTACTTGGATGTGCTACTGCGGTAGTTGAGGCATGCATGATGATTGTTGCCATGCCGGCATCTCTATCGGGTATCGGAAGCGACTAAAAAGTATAAAAATACAGCAAATTTGATGCACCCCATATAGCCGATGGGCATCGGGCGGAGGAGGGAAGAAGGGTGAGAGACATTTGAAATGGACCCATCGTCACCGCCCAATGCGCCCCGGAATGTGAGGAGAAACGAGCGAATCAGCGGTTAACGCGAAGGCAAGAGTACGATACGACGTGCCATTTCGGGTAAGGCGATGACAATAACACACTATAATGTCAGAAGGACAAACATGTTTTGGAGGAGGGCTAACCGAGTTCAAATTGTTTTGCTCGAGAGGATCTCTTTGGGCGAAGGTGTTGTGGAATAGCGGGTTGGAGTGTTGGAGAGAGGGGGGGTGGGCGGGGCTGGATTAGGAATTGGTCCAAGTGCAGATAAAATTGGGAGAGGAGGTTACAGTGCCGGTCTCGAGTCTTCGCCTAGGGGGGGGTCTTTACCAAGTCCAGGAGCTCCACGCGGGTACCTTCCCTAACCACGTGCGAGAGCATAGGAGATGAGACGATGGTAAACACTCGGCTGGGAGAAGGGAAGGGGGTGGAGGGGGGGTTGAGAGAAAAAAACGACATACCGGTACGAGTACAGTACAGTACTCGTACACTACTCGAGCACTGTAACAACAACAACAACAACAGGGTACCGGTAGCTACTACTTCCCCCCCTGGGCTGGGGTTGAGATATCCGGGTACGATAAATGCTCTACTGGCCCAAGTACCAGTACGCTGCGAACCCTCAGACATTTTGAAAGGACAAGACCTGTGGTCAAGATCTCCTACCTGCTCTGTTGTATATGCACGGCACGGTAAGCAGGAGGGTATCATGGCCAATTGCGGAGATGGAATTGATTTGTTCGCTGATCATGTTGAAGCTTTTTCACCGTGCACGCGTGTGGTGGAAAGGGGGTCTCAGAGCTATAATATGTGGGTAAACAATGGCGTCAGGCCCAGGTTGACATACCCGAGGTGGGCAGAAAGGGAGGGGGGTGGTGTGCCCGTAGCTCCTGCTGCTACTTTAGCTCTCTTATCAGGGAGCTTTGACATGCATCCAGCGCGTGTCATAGTCAACGGCGGAAAAAGAAGGGAAGAGGAGAGAAAGGAAAAGGAAAAGGAGAAAAAGAAAGAAATGGAAAAAAGAAAGAAGTGGAAAAAAGGAAAAAAAAGAAAGAAATGCTTTTCTCCTCCTCCTCAACCAACTCCACTCCTCGACTCCTCACCCTCGAGGCTGGGAATGGAAGGGAATATGCCGATACGAGAATTGTATGATACCATGCGAAGAGGCGGGGAAAGCTGCGTCCGTTATGATATATTGATACCCGTGCCATAAGGCCGCGACAAGCCAGAAAAAAAAAAAAAAAGGAAGAAAAAGAAAAAGAGGGAAAAAAAAGGGATTGGGAATTTTAATTATGGGTACTGTGCTCGTACAGTACACTATACGGCTATGGGTAATAATATATTATAGCATCATAGGAAGCTTTATCAAAGCAGCAATGAACACCGTATCATAGAAGAGAGTTTTGAGCGCGATAATTTACCATATGGGGGACTTGTTGAGTCTCAAATCTCCATGCGGTTAGGGTACCTGGTGTACCCATCTTCATGATGATGTTTACACCTCGTAGTCTAACGGTACTCGAATGCCAACCCGACCACACATCACGAGAGTGAATACCATAACAGCTCTAGAGTTAACCCTACAGCTTTTTCGAGCTCCTTGTTTGCAGGGTGGAGTCAGCGCCAGCCAGCCGAAAGGAAAAATTTTTCACCACCACCGTCGTCGGCCGCGGGGACACAGAATAGCAACTGCCGATTACGTACAGTTACAGTTACAGCCCCCCCTCATCCATCTGGCCCCCCCTCTCATGCCTTCTCTCCCTTCGGTCCCTCTTCTCCTCTTGCTCTCTTCTCCCCCCCACCTCCGCCAAGTCCCCACGCACAGCTCGTCACCCCGGAGCTTCGGCCAATCAAACGCGAGACCCGCGCAAGAGCTAGCTGTTGGGGGAGGGGGGGGAGAGGAAGCTATCGCCCAAATTCGGCCTGTTTCTCCTCTCCTTCTTGTCCCCCGATTTATACCTCTTTTTCTTTTTCTTTCCTTTTTTCTTCACTTTTTCCTTGCTCCCTCCCCCTCCCCCTCCCCCCCGGGTTCTGTTTCTGTGCTCTTTATCCTGTCTTGCACTTTCTCCCAACCGACTGGCAACCCAAGAGTCAAGACACCGTCCGAACCCTCTCTCATTGCATCGTGTCCTCTCCATCTACTCGATCGTCGTCGTCCCATCTCTTCAACGGCAACCAAACTCTTGCTCGAGTGAATCGACGATATGCCAGCTATGGCCAAATCCCCATTGAACTCGAAGAATCCGACCACGGTTGCGAAGAAAATATACGCTGGAGCCGGAATTGTCGGCAATGGTGGACACGGAGAAGTCGTGTGCCCGCTGTTCAATGCCGATGGCTCGATATGCAGGAAGAAGTGCGTTGGTGTAAGTCATCTCGAGATCCGGAAGGGTATTCATATGTATACGAGGGCGGGTTTATATTAACCCTTCTTCGTCTCCCAGAACTTTGCTTACCGCTCCATTTGTGAGCACATTCGACGGGCACATCCGGACAACTGGATTCCAAAGCTTCCAGCGAGCCCCGAAACCTTCGCAAAGATGGTCAATTTACCACCCAGAGGTCTAGCGGCGAGTGCTGTGAACGCTCAGTTTCATATGAGGAACCCTCAGCATATACCAGCCACTCCTGCTATGCCGGTATTCAGAAAGGCTGGAAAAGGTTAGTTAGAACTGGGTCACTCGAAGGCTCTTCTCTGCGTCCACACATCTTCGTCGCGAGATGCCCTGGTTCCTTTCGGAATTTGACTGTTGAATTTTCCCACTAACCCCATTGTAGCTCTTCCCAAGCATGAAGATGAGCAGTATGTTGATGGGATGTCGCCTCCATCGCCAGCAAACGAATCAGAAACCCTTCCTTCGATATCCCTGTCTACAAATCCCGTTACCTTCCACTCAAACTTCCCAGCCGTGATATCCGATTATGGAGAGCACGACTGTGAAGACAATCACGATTTTATGGGAGAGGATGACCTCGAGGAGGAGATGCGCTCTAGACGCAGCGATATCGTAAGTGCCTTCCCTTTTTCCTCGATTCCCGAGAGCCAGCGTTCTTCCCACCCTGTGGTGCGGGGTGCAGACCAATGATGGGGCATTTCTGCTCCGCCATCAATGATGGCAATTTGAATGCTTCTCATTGGTCAGTCCCAAATTATTACTTGTTTGTGACTGCAAGCCAGGTCTCACAGTGCCTCGTGCGAACTCCATGCACGGTGCGCCAGCTTCGTTGTGTGCTCTGACATGGCAGATTAATAATATTCTGTCTCAAACCTGTTACCACTGGGATTTGATAGCTAATATTCCACCCTCAGGACACGGAGGATGATAGCGACGATGGCCGTCGTAACCCTCACCGTCATCAATTGCTTCACCACAACCATCACCGCAACCATTTGCAATCTCAGCTCCCTCCCCTTCGAACCGGCAAGCACCCAACCTCTTTGAAGCGAAAGCGTCAACCCTATGCTGCCAGTAGCCCCGAGACCGGCACCATCGCCGACAACTCCAGCACTCAGTCCTCCAACGCTTCTCGTTGGGATGAGCTCATCGAAGCTGCAACCACCCGCGCTGTAGCAATTGACCCGAAGCCTTTCCACCACCATCGTCCATCCCACCATCACGAATACAGCCATGCTCCGGTGGGTTTCCTGGTTATGTTGATATAGCTTAAACCTTTTCTTACATTTATGACAGCAAACACCACTATCTCCTCCCGCGACTGCATCATCATCATCTCACCATTCGCTAGCGCCCACCGCTTCACCTCCATCCACTTCAGCTTCCGAATTCCCCATGTCGGGTCCCCGCAGGCTCTTGTGTGCCACTTGTGATAACCTCACACCGATCCACGAAGCTTTCGCGTGTACGGAATGTATGTCCGGCTTCTGCGATGAATGTGCTTTCAACTCTGGAAGAAGGGGAAGCTGCGTTAGTGGAAGCCGCGGATTGTTGATCTTTGGAT